GCTGTAATTCAAAAACAAATATAACACGGCTGGGGCGCCGCAGAAACCAAAACCGTTTCTTCAAAGAGGGTAGCTGAATAAATTGTGATTGGAAAGCCCCCCCCCGCCTTTTTTTAAAGAGCAACTTTTCTTTTCAGCCGTTAATAACGGACCCACAAAAGTATGATCTATTTTTGAAACAAAATTCCAAATAGGATTCCTCTTGGGCCTCTTTGGGGCCTACAAATGGGATTTTTATTTATTTATTATTGATCATAAATTACTGATCATAGCTTTCTAAATAAGAAGACAATAAAAATATTAATAAAAAAAATGAATGATCCTGATGACTGATCAGTGATCATCAAATGCACTATTATTTATTATTTTTGTTTTGAAAATAATATAGGCTATTTGTGTACTACATATTTTGATCAAATTCTCTGAACAATCCTTAGCACAGTGCACTCCAGTGACCACCACTGCACCAGTCAGTGACTCTAGTAGTCCACCAACACCTTTTTACCCATAACCGAATTCGACAGCCTGAAAAGTGAAGAATAAAAACTTCCAGAAACTGTCAGCCTGTCAGTGTGTGAGTCTTTAGAGGTATGTATATATGTACATATATCTGCTAATCTGCTTCGAGCTTTGGATTTTACATTTTTCACACATCTTAATATGGGAGATTAATAAAAGTTCCCATAAGGTCTCACGATGAGCCTTGGCTGCCCAGTATATCGAAAGATTATGTGTCGTGTATCGACGGACTTTCGCAATAGTTGTATCGCACTGCCCATCACTTACAGCATACCGGAAAATAAAGGGAAATTGTATACTGCAGCGTAGTTCTTTGTATTTATGTTTAGGTATCATGATTTTGGCTTATGTATCCATAATCAATGGCTACTGTGTCCAACTAGATTGTTATGAGCCTCGAAAGTATAAATCAGTCCTTCTACCTTACCGGCAAACGAAAAGTCCATTGTGTATTGTATTATACAGAAGGCTGCTAATGATTTAACCATATAAATAAGTAGATCGCTGCTAAGGTTTCAGTACAACTCCTTTAAATATAAATGTCTCACAGTATCTATGTCCCAGTCAGCTGTGTAGCAGACTCCTCATCGCAGCGCTTTTAACGATGCTTTGCATAAGCCATTATCGTTCATCCTATTTTCACTGATCACTGGGTTATTGAACACCTTTCAGGACGATAAGAACTGCCACCTTACGCAGTCAGGAATGGTCTATGCACACTTCTCGTTCGTCGCAGTGCTGTTAATAGATTTTAGGCAGATACGGTGGTGCAATCAATAAATTTTAGGCATGTAAGGTGGTACTAAAAATAAATTGTAGGTATATATCCCAGGTCAGTAACGTACAACGCTTCCTGTGCAGGTCTAAATATTGGGGCATGTCCTACCGATATCCAGACATTCTTCAGGCGGTCTATTGAACCAGATAAGGACATGCCGCTACAAATATCATCGCAGCTCACCCGTATGGTGGCGCGAAGGCTCGGCGTGCAAGTTTCGAGTGTTGAATGTATCTTGCTATGTATACGAAAGTATAAAGTTTGTATATTGTCAAGATTGTTAGTTAGGTCTTTCCAAGACCCCACAATGTGACATGACCCTCAACTGAACCAGTTAGAAGCGTGTCCCTTTTCTCGTTGTAATCAATTGTGTACACTCCGCTGGATCCTGTCTCGATCGTGTGGACTTTTTTGCCCTGTACGAAATGGTCAGTAAAAGGAGGCGTATGTCCGTTAGTGGCTGTAACCTGTACTTGGTATGGATTGGTGTGCTTAGGCGGCCACGCTAAGAAATTTATATACGTAAATACACAAATAATACGTACAATTTTGCATATTATCAGACCTATATATGTACACATAAATGATCCACTATTAATTCTACGCATAGCATTTGTGCAGTACAAATGTACTGCTGTTGTTTAAAAGCACAGAGTAAATTACGGACTAGGCTGAATTGCCTCCAAAGCACCTCTTGACCTTTCGAAAGGCCACATGTATATGTGATATACGACGTCCACACACACACACACGCTCACACACACGTATACACACACACACAAATATATATATATATTTATATATATATAAATATATAAACATATATGTATTCATATACATATACATATACCAATATACGTATACACACACGCACACACACACACACACACATTATACATACATATATATATATATATATATATATATACCGGCGTGGGAAGCAGCTTCTAAAAGATTGCATCGTACGCTCCATTTCCTAGCATACTAAGTGCTGCACAAATTACTTTTCGAGAAGTGAACACACGCGTGCATGTGCAATATTGTGTGTTGAGGTTTGTGCCGGCAAACTAAAATGTTGCAGATATGCGAAGAAATCAAGTCGTATACACATACGCTAATGAGCTCCCAGTAGTGCACATCTCCTGTCTCAGAACCCGACACGATGTAAGCATCCTTTGCGGTGAAGGCGCTGTCGACTTTGTAGTTGGAATTTTTGTGCCCCTTCAACCTATATATATATATATACACACACACATATATATATATATATATGTATATAAGTGCGCAAAGTGTGGTTCGCAACATATGAGAAGGGTTTGGTAGCTTGTGATTGGGCTTCTAATTGCCCTTCAAAATAAAAACATACGTACACGCACGCACGCAAGAATGAGACATGAGTTTAACGCAACGTCACAAAAAATTAGAATTGAAGTTAAATGATTGCCAGTTCAAAGTAAATAAACAAGAAACAGTGTCGTCAGAGGCCGTGTACTAGGCCCAACTACACTATTTACAAATTTGGTAAGTACCCATATCTGACTGCATCTTCCGGGGGAACCCATGTTCGCCAGAAATACAGCCGATGAACAATTACGCACGGACCACGAACGAGTGGCAACTAAGCAAACATGCGAGAGCGTTTCAGAAGTGTTTATGGATTGGGGTGGGGTGGATCGTTCTTCTCAACGGAGAGATAGGGACACTTCAGACAAAACAATACGGGCTTAACAACAGATTTTAGTGGTTTAGTAGTCTACACCATACAGGGATTAATCCTTCCCCCCCTCCATACATACACTTACACACAAACACACACACACACACATATATATATATATATCACTAACTATATAACAGTTTAGCCACTTACATAGTCAACACCTGGCCATTCGACCTATCCAAGACAACCAGCAGATCCTGCAGCGTAGAGAGCAGCACGCACTGTTTGTCATTGGACAGTCGGACTGACGTGACTGGATCTGCAGTACATAAACAACGTATTTAGTCTCAGTTTTTCGGACTCTTAGTTACGTACCGTTCTTATCGCAACGGTCAATCACTGACTGATGTTCCTCATCTTAACTTTCAGTCTCCAACAATTGCTCGATTATCAGCATCAGGTGGTCGAACTGAATGAGGTACTATACACCAACACTGGCCGCAACTTGTCTATATATATATATATATATATATATATCACTTACGTCCAACTGTGTCTGTCGTCACCTGTCTGTTGCGCATGTCGTACACTCGCACAGTTCCGTCCACACAGCTGCAAGTGCAATAGCGAGTGAGTGTGTGAGCGGTTGTCAATGTACTTACACACGGAATGTAGGTATATATGAATCATTCCTATCACATACTAACGGTGAGATGGATCGAAGAGCGGTCAAGGGAAGTGACATGCACGCATATTCCTAATATAAGGTACCAAGGAGACGGTATAATACGTACTTCTCAATATAAACCTCCAACTCAAAGCACTCGATGGATAGGTATACATACATCTTTTATTTAGTAGGCACATTGCCAATGTGCAGGCCACAATTTAGTACCAGATCTATGCTAACGCTGGTGGTATAGGGGTTGTGTAGACGCATACATGTATGCAAGCGGTGGCCACTTCCTTGCAATACATGCGTGCTACAGAATATATAATAATATATATAATAATATACATATATATTAATATATATAATAATATACATATATATTAATATATAATAATGTATGATAATATATAATAATATAAAATAACATATAATATAATAATATAATAATATATATATATAATAATACACTAATATAATAATGTATATATATATATATATATGTATATAAATAAACATATATAAAAAATATATTATATATATGTGTGTGTGTGTGTTTGAATATAAAGATTCGAAGCTATCACTTGATCAGCTGAAACCAGATGAACTACAACAGACAATGACTCACCCAAAGAGAAGATCTGTACCGCTGACATGCAAAGTGGTAACGCTGTCTTTTGCATCGTTCAACACCTGAGAACGTCGTAGCAAGGAAAAGACAGCACACTTCATTTCTAAGGGTAGTTAAATTATCTAAAGGTAGGTAGTCTACCTACCTAAAGGCAGTAAGCTCACCCACCTAAGGGTAGATAACTATAGGCATAAAGGGTTGTTTATAGTTGGTCGGTCATCTACCCTTTCAGACAATGCGTGCTTATATCCTAGTGCAGCACTTAATCGTACATGCACGCCCGCACACAATGAACGACGACAGGAAACTCCATTCGAAGAAACATATCTGTGAGTACATTGAATAAAAGCTACAACCACACTTGCACACGTACACCCACGTGCGAACCGTTGTGTTACGAGACACGCAACAATATATGTTTAGACAAGTAAACCTAAGTATCTATATCTACACGTACAAGCTGGTGCTCTGAGGTATACCTGGATGGGCTCGTATCCCTTCGATCGGCAGTCCCATATCCTGACAGTTGCATCGTACGAGCCTGCAAGACGCAACCAGCAGAACAGGATTGGAGATGATATGTATGTTCATATGGATGAATATATAAAAATCAAATCCTTCACATAATATATATATATATATGACTGCAGACGCAGATACAGTAGCATGCCACACGTTCAATTGGTCATCCACGCACTGCTTCTCTTAAAGTATTCGATATTTCTAAGTGCACAGAAAAAGCATTCTCAAACAGAATCAAGTCAGACAATGCATGTTCTGTATATGTATAGACATTTCCAGTGACTGTGTCGTGCGTGGTGTGTGCCAGAGGTTCAAGAGTGTACCTGAAAACAGCACAGAGGAATCCTCGTTGAAGCCAACGCAATTTACACGCTGTTGAATGGATTTGTAGTGGTTGTTGAGTTGGTGAAAGGTAATAGTATAGGCACAGTTCTGTCTCGCATTGATCAATAGTAACATCCGAGGCAGCTATTTACAATTTTTTGTACAATATATATATATATATATAGATATACATATATATATATATATATATATATATATAGATATAGATATAAATATATATATATTTATATTTATATACATATACATATATACATATATAATATATATATATATATATATATATATATATATATATATATATATATATATATATATATATATATATAATAACACACACACACACACACACACACACATATATATATATATATATATATATATCATGGATATATATATATTTAC